AAATCATAATACAATAATATTAAATATATTTAATATATTTAACAATTCTTCATACCATAAGCTGCATAAACGAAATTATAAATTAAAATACGTAAAGAGTAATTAGAAATTAAAATACGTATAGAGTAATAAAAATAGGAAAATATGTATAGAGTAATGTAAATTTTTAACATGTATAAAAAAATGGTAATAAAAAATCATTAATGGTAGAGATGTTCAACATTAATGCAGCGAAAGAAATTTGGGCAGATTTTTCATGCCATAACTTGCATAAACGAAATTAGAAGTTAAAATACGTATATAGTAATTAGAAATTAAAATACGTATAGAGTCATAAGAAGATACGTATAGAGTAATGTACATTTTTAACACGTATACAAAAATGGTAATAAAAAATTATTAATGGTAGGATTGGTAGAGATGTTGAACATTAATGCAGCGAAACAAATTAGGGCAGATTCTTCATACCATAACTTGCATAAACGAAATTAGAAATTAAAATATAAACGAATAATCCATACCGTTAATAAATCAATGTTACCGTAATTAAGTCATTACTCGATTAATAAAATGTTCAAATTCGTAGGTGTTATAATTGTAAAAAGGTAAGTAATAATAAAATATTTAAAGTGATAATAAAATATTCAAATGAGTGTTCTAATTGTAAAAAGGTGAGTAATAATAAAATATTCAAACATGATTACACTTACCGTTAATAAATCAATCCTTTTTAACCAGTTTATACGAATGGTAATTTATATGAATGGTAATAATTGTATTTAATTATATTTACTGATATAGATTAATTAATATCTAATAACTTATTACATTTAAAAATGGTAATATACACATTTATTTTGAACAGTTAAATTAATATAAACATGTATTTTGGTAATAAAGTATTCACACACGCCATGTTAAATAAAAAATAAAGTATTCACACACGCCATGTGAAATAATAAAAAAATAACTATGTATATCACAAAAGGTAATTAAAAATCTAATTACCATAATAAAGTACACCTTGGTTCCCATGACATTGGGAACCAATGTCATGGGATGACCCGGGGGTACTCCGGTTTCCCGTTTGTAAAATTGACGGTTCCTACCCCCCTAACCCCCCGGTAAACCCCCCCCACCCCGCCCCGACCCAAACACGCCCCCCACCCCCTTCAACTGCACCCCCCAAGTTTATTTTGACTTTGGAGTCAAATTTTGACTCCAAAGTCAAAATTAACTTGGGGGTGCAGTTGAAGGGGGTGGGGGCGTGTTTGGGTCGGGGCGGGGTGGGGGGATTTATCGGGGGTTAGGAGGATAGGAACCGTCAATTTTACGAACGGCCAAACTGGGCACCGGAGCATCTCCGGGTCATCCCATGACATTGGTTCCCAATGTGAACCCCCTCAATAAAGTAAGGCTAATAAAATATATATTATTTTGGTATTATGTGAATTTATACAAATGGTAATTGTATTTAATTACATTCACTAATTTATATGTAATAATATCTAATAAATTATTACATCTAAAAATGGTAAAATATACATGAATTTTGATAAGTACAATTCATATAAAGTATTAAGTACGTATATTTAATATAAAGTATTAAGTACATATACAAAAAAGATAATTAAAAATCTAATTACCACACTAAAGAAAGGCTAATAAAATAGATATATTATTATGTTATCCTTTAATATAACCGTGTATTTTGAAATTGTAAATAAAAATAAGAAAATACGTATAGAGTAATGCAAATTTTTAACACGTATACAAAAAAGGTAATAAAAAGTTATTAATGGTAAAGATGTTGAACATTAATGTAGTGAAACAAATTAGAGGAAAATTGTCTGCTCGAAAAGGTAAGTGTTCATAGACAGAAAAAGATAAGTAAAAACATAATTTTGGACAGATTCTTCATACCATAACTTGCATAAACGAAATTAGAAATTAAATAAGGATGAATCATTCTATGCCCATATATTTTCAAGAGACAATATATATCCATCCATACTTTATTTAAAAAGCCATGGAGTCAACCTTTGTTTTTCCTGCCCATACGTTATTACATTAACAAATGACAATTGTTCACTTAAAATGGTAAGTTGACGAAAATATAATAATAAATATTTCCTATTTATGCCTATGCTTAATTTTCCTTGTGTTATTAAATGTTCAAAAAATGGCAATTGTTCACTAAAAATGATAATTTTTATTACATTAACAAATGACAATTGTTTACTTAAAATGGAAAGATGTCGAAAACATAATAATAAATATTTCCTATTTAGCATGTGCTTAATTTTCCTTGCGTTATTAAATGTTCAAAAAATGGCAATTGTTCACTTAAAACTCATACTTTATTTAAAAAGTCATGGAGTCAACTTTTGTTTTTCTCGTCCATACGTTATTACATTAACAAATGGCAAATGTTCACTTAAAATGGTAAGTTGCTGAAAATATAATAATAAATATTTCCTATTTACGCATGTGCTTTGTTTTCCTTGCGTTATCAAATGTTCGAAAAATGACAATTGTTCACTTAAAATGGGAAGATGCCGAAAACATAATAATAAATATTTCTTATTTATTGTGTTATTAAATGTTCAAAAATGGCAATTGTTCACTTAAATGGTAATTTTTATTACATTAACGAATGACAATTGTTTACTTAAAATGGTAAGTTACTAAAAATATAATAATAAATATTTCCTATTTAAGCATGTGCTTAATTTTCCTTGCGTTATTAAATGTTCAAAAAATGGTAATTGTTCACTTAAAATGGTAATTTCTATTACATTAAGAAATGGCAATTGTTCACTTAAAATGGTAAGTTGCCGAAAATATAATTATTATTATTAAAAACATGCGTCTGTGCTTAATTTTCAATGCATTAATACATTTACAAATGGCAAGTTAATTATTACAAATAATTATTATTATTAGTCTAAAAAATGGTTTAACATCTATAATAAATACTCTTCCTTTTTTATCACATGGTAATAACCGTTTATAATTGGTAATTAATTGTTAATCTAAAAGATTATTATTATTATTAATTTAAAAAATTAATCTAATATAATGGTTTAAAAGCTATAATAAACGAACAGTTTTATCATCCGGTATAAATGAACACTTTTATCACACGGTATTAACAGTTTTAAAAGCTATAATAAACGAACAGTTATATTTATAGTAATTAACGTATAAAAAATTAAAATCTAACATACATTATTAACGTAAGTTTTAAATAAAGGTAATTTCCTTTTTATAAAATATAAAAAGGAATTTGGTGATGTTGTTTATATTGAGTGTGACTTAATTATAAATATAATTATTATATTTATAGTAATTAACGTATTAAAAATTAAAATCTAACATACATTATTAACGTAAGTTTTAAATAAGGTAATAGCCTATTGTCTACTCGGTATTATACAATTCCAAATAGTTAGTTTTAAATGAAGGTAAGTTAAACAATTGCAAAGCCTAAGATTTAGAAAATTCGAAGTAATTAAAAAAGGAAAGTTATACAATTATACTTTAAATTTCGTTTCAAAAATAATTATGGTAAGAATAATTAATTTTATTCTTACCAAATTTTATTATACAATTACACACGGAGTGCCGCCTCTATCTCTCCCGCCTTGCAGATATATCGCACCGCCTATATCCATTAGAGCTAAGATTGCCGCTGGTCACAATGATTATGATTTTTTTATTGGCTTCCAAATGCTCTATAATTGAGACTGCATCGTAAAAGTAAGAAATACTTTCAACTTATTGTACAGACCCGGTTGAAGATTCTGATATGCAATGAAGACAATATTCTCACAAATTGTACAAATTATGTAGTCTATAAAGAAGTCTTTCGAAATTTGTAAAGCATTGATGTTTCTTCCCTTAAAATAACATAATCTTTATGTTCTATTGCATCTCAGTTTTATCATTGAAAAATGATTTGAATTTAATAACATAAAAATGACCCGTGCAACGCACGGGTGTGGTACTAGTAATTATATATATATATATATATATATATATATATATATATATATATATATATATATATATATATATATATATTGGTTGCTACAGTAGTTCGGTTCGGGACAAAGCCCGTTCCCATTCCCAAATACCAGCCCAAAAAATCGGTTCGGTACGGTTGGGGATTTCTTCGAGATTTTTCAGTTCGGTAAAATT